AAAAATAATGTTGATCCCAACAATTGCATTTTGTTTTCTATTTATAACTAACGATATTTAATGAATATTCAAATAAAATATTTAAATATCTGTGATGTGAATACTACATAAAAACAAAATGCATTTCCATTGTTATTGTTTTATTATATTATTATATCATATATTAGAAGTATAATATATATTATTTTTTTCCTAATATTTTCAGTCAATCATGAATGTTCTGGGAATCATGCACTAGAGGGTAAGTTTTATTGTTTAATGTACTAATGTAAGCAAAGGTTTGAATTTTATAGATTGTATCTCAGTGTTTACCCATTGTTACCCTTGTTATCTGATAGATTTTATAAAGTTTTGATAGTTGTTGTAGTGGGTAAAGCAGGCGAAAATGAATTCTTAATGTATTTCATCTTTGTATCTTGTCTAGTGGCTGAGGCTGCGGCAGACTCTTCTTTTGACGGGGGAAGTATGGCTCTAGCAATATTTATACTAGTGTTGCTAGTGTCTGTTTTACTGGGAGGGGCCTACATCTATGTCACAAGGTGAGCAATATACTGGGGAAAGTGTTAGTGTTACTAATGGAGTGCATTAGCGCCTGCACCCTTTTTCAGCAGCGCTGGTTCTGGAAGTATTTTTTCATAAAAAAAAATTCCATAGGGATTTTAAAATAGTCGTTGTTAAAGAGTTAAAAGTAGGGATGCACTGATATGAAAATCTATATATTGGGCAAAAAATATTAATAAAAAAATAAAAAAAATTGAGAGCCTGATTACAAAAACAAAAGTCTCACCATTAAAAGCCATATCCCAAGCACACAATTATAATTTTATGTTGCCTATGTGACGGGCTTGATCTGCGCATGTTGCACTTAACTTTATTTTCCAATCATATTTCAAGCAATCCAAAACCATCATGGCGAACAGTACGCATCTGAAGTGTCTCAGCTGAAGGAAATAATCCATTATTTATCTGCTTTTATATATCAGCTAAATATTCCTATTGGGCCGATAACGTTAATGTTAACATTAAAGTGAACATGTATCGGCCGATACCGATATGGTGGCCGATATATCGTGCATCCATAGTTATGAATCAGCTACAAGGTGGCAATACAAAAAAACAAAAAGACAATACAAGACAAGACTGACTCTGATTGGTGGAATTTTCTGTACAGCATCATGGGTAATGTAGTTTTTCACCAGGAAATCCACTGTTAAACACAATTATGTTAAAAATAAGCTGAAATAACGTGAACTGGCGGCTTCAACAGAAGTAGATACACACAGTAGGCCTGTCTTTAGAGGTTTATAAGTTATCATTAATTTTCGTTATGGAGAAAATGAATGGAGTTTTTACTTCCGTAACCCGTCTGTTGTGCTACAATAAAGAGCTGCCATTGTTCATGAGCACTTACACATGTTCTGTTGCTCATTTAATAGACTGCTCAACGCTGCTTGTACTAATAATGTTGTGAAATGAGATTGGTTTCTTCATAAAGCATTTAATAGCTTGAAGTGTAATGATATGTGTGGGTGGGAAAGCAGACACCATGATTGTCCATTGCTGAAACGAGAGAACATGTGCTGCGTTTGAACCCCTGTCAACACTCTTCTGTGTTCCTCAGGTGCCGTTATCATTCAAACCTGAGACTTCCTCTGATGTATCCGCATCCCTACAGCCAAATCACCGTGGAAACTGAGTTTGACAACCCCCTCTACGAGACTGGAGGGGTGAGAGTTTTCTAGAACACCTTAGCAACCGCATAACAAAGCCTTGGCAATCACATAGAACACACAAAACCTCTTAGAGAACCCTTGTCCTGGCAATCATCCAAAACACCTGAACAACCAACCACTTAGCAACTCCATAGGAACATATCACCACCTTGGAAACCTCCCAGCGCAACCTAGCAAATGCTTAGAAAAGCCCTGGCAATCAGCCCAAACATTTTACCAACTGCCTAAGCACCCAGAACTACTTTTGAGAAACCACTTAATAACTCAGCAACCACCTAGAAACTCCATAGCAACCATCTAGAACCCTGTAGGAACCATATAGCACTGCCCTGGCAACTTCCCAGAACACCCTAGCAACCGCATAGGTCTTGGCAATCGTCCAAACCACCTAGCAACTCCCTAGCAATCACCTAGAACTGCTAAGGAACCACATAGCACTTCCCTGGCAACTTCCTAGAGCACCCTAGCAACCGCATAGGTCTTGGTAATCATTCAAAACATCTGAGAAACCACTTAGCAACTCCCAGAAAACCCTAGCAACTCCCTAGCAACCATCTAGAACCCTGTAGGAACCATATAGCACTGCCCTGGCAACCTCCCAGAGCCTCATAGCAACCACATAAGTCTTGGCAATCATACAAAACATCTGAGAAACCATTTAGCTACTCCCAGAAAACCACAGCAACCATCTAGAACCCCTTAGGATCCACATAGCACTTCCCTGGCAACTTCCCAGAGCACCCTAGCAACCGCATAGGTCTTGGTAATCATCCAAAACATCTGAGAAACCACTTAGCAACTCCCAGAAAACCCTAGCAACTCCCTAGCAACCATCTAGAACCCTGTTGGAACCACATAGCACTGCCCTGGCAACTTCCCAGAGCACCCTAGCAACCGCATAAGTATTACCAATCATCCAAAACATCTGACAAACTACTTAGCAACTCCCAGAAAACCCTAGCAATACCCTAATCAGCCATCCTGAACCACATAACAAGGGCCAGGAAATCAGCTAGTAGAACAACATCACCTGTGTGGGCAATGAGTTTTTTAAATGATCAAATGTGGTAATTCTCACAGCATCTCTTGTTGTTTATTTTCTACAGGACACGAGAGAATATGAGGTGTCCATATGAAGAGGCCCACAGACACGTCCCGGATTGCTCCAGCTCTTAGAGGAAGTGATGTAAATATATCCTGACAATTCCACTCTCCCCACCTCCCCAACCTCCAGAGGAAAGGGCGCTCATCAGCCGAGAGAGAGAGAGAGAGAGAGAGAGAGGGGCGTGAAGGGAAAGGGTCTGTGAAACAGGAAGTATCAGTGCAGAGATCGTTCGGCCTGTAGACGTTACTGTGGTTTTACGACATGTGACTCAACACGTATGCACTCAGACGGAGGCTCTCATTCTGCCATTCACAAACGTGTGTGTGTGTGTGTGTGTGAGACATGACAAGTGAGTGGAAAAAAACAAGTGATGGGTTTGCACAGTGTTCTTTCGCCTCAATTCTGTAACTTATGGGACAGTCTAACCCTGAGGTGCGTGCTCCGATATAAAGGGGTCGTGGTGGCGCCGTCCTGTGTCTGTCTGTCTGTGGCCCGTCCTGCCTGCTGTCATTTTTAAGTCTTTGTACTTAGAGCAGTTTGTAGTGCAGGTTTTAAAGTAGTATTTTTTTCCCCCTGCAAGTGACGTCCTACTGCAGCAGAGACCAGATGATGTATTTATTTTGAAGTATATGTGAAATGTTCTCTGCTGTTTAATGAATACTTCATTTTTGGAGATCAAGAAAAAAATGTAACTGATTTCTCTAAAGAAATGTGACAAATAAATTCATTTAAATCTTTTTTAACCCTGAAGTGTCCTGATTTTATTAAAGGCTTTTATTTGAAAAGAGATCTGACAGAAATAGGGCATTTATGCTCCACTGATTACAAATCTCACAAAATCTGCATTGACAGAAAATGTTCGAATTAAATCTCTTTAATATGGAGACTTTGCTAGAGTCTCATGCATTTAAGATGTTTCTCCTAAGAAAAGTCAAGTCTCAAACTTGCTCATTACGGTCACATTAATGACATTTTTGGGGAAATAAAGGTCCATTGTCTATGGAGTGCAACAGTCGGGTTCAGGAAGTAAAAACTCAGGAAGTTGATTTTGTCAGCCCATGTTATTTCATTTTTTTTTTTTTTTTTTTTGTATAACTTATCAGCAGAATTCCTAGTGAAACACTACATTACCCTTGATTGCATACAGAAAATTCCACCAATCAGTGAGTTGAAAAACGCTAAAAAATAGCTCTTTAGCTCCGCCCACTCCCATGAAGTTGTAATCGAGTCTATATCTCTAAGCTCTCACACAATACTTAAATATTTGTTTATGCATATTTTGCAATAAACTTAAAATATATTGTTTATACTGTAATCAAAATGTGTACTTTTTTTTAAATTCATTATGCTGTTCGCAAAGCTTCATGGGATTGTAGTTCTTTCCCTCACTAAAGTACACAGTCTTGTACCTTTGTAATTTTGTTCGATTTTCATAAACTTTTTGGATTCTAATCAAAGTTTGTAGTGTTATGATTCACCTTGCAGCTGATTGGCTTGGTTCGTGGCTTATAAAAAGAAAGACCTTTTTAAAAATCCCTATTGGAAAAAAAGAATGGAAAAAATATTTCAGGATCCAGCGCTGCTGAAAAAGTGGGCGGGGACTGTTGATGATGTATGAACCACAGCAGTCACAAAAATTATAAGCAGCTTTCTGTTGGCCAACATGGTGAATTTGTGTGACCAACTTGAACCCATTGTGAAACCTGAGTGGGGACATTTTTCGCTTTCATGCCAAATTCCCATTTGTTATGGATTTATATTGAAATGACTTCAGAAATTTGCCGAACAACAGTAAATGTGACAGACAGCAGTAGATTGCAGTAATTGACCTTGACTCAAAATGATCATTCAATCGAATACTTGCTCATTTTATAGCTCTATATTTTTACTGTATGTCAGTATTTGTGTCTAGATTTGCTGAGGAATCTTCTGAGATACAGAAATGAACTATTAAAAAAGCAATTTGCAATCAATAACATACATCTTCCTTCTGGGTATGTCAGCGCATCTAATGGAGTGGAAACATCCAGCCTCCTACTTGCATGCAAATGCAACCTTTACTAGTCAACGTTTCACACCTTTTCTCATTTCTCAGTTTACCCATTTCCTTCCAATGTTTTTTGAAAGTGTTAAATGTATGCATTTCTATCAAATTTGCACGTTTTAGCAAAGAATCATTCAGGACAGATTGAGCACATTTGAGGTTTAGAGACACAGGAAAAGACATCTCGCAAGTTTTTTGGTAGAGGAGAACTGTTTGTGGCTGTCAGGAAAGATCTCAACAGATAGTCTATTTCTAAACTGCGGTTCACTTCCTCTTCGTGCATTCTGCCCATTTGACTTCACTACAGCGCATGGAGATCATGCGATGTTCATTGTTTTTCTTGTGAAGGTGAGTTAATAGTTTCCTTAATGACTTGTGCGTATCGTGTTTAATGCATCTCGTTTCATGTCACTTTATCAGTGCATTGTCTTTTTTCAGCTCCATATTTCCTGCATATGTCATGCATGTTGAAAACCACTTTCACTTTTTTTTTTAATGCAAAAAAGTATGTTGTGTGATTTATAGATAAGATCTGATTAATGACACTCATAGTTCCTGTAACCAGTTATCTCGCAGTTAACAACAACAAACTATTTGCAGAAGTAGCCAACCGAGGAAGTGCAGTCGGTGTTTAAACTTAAAATGTTTTCCTCTTGCAATGTCTCAGAGTGATGCGGTTGTCAGTCAAACGGGTAGTTGTACTCCTGCTAACCGTGTTCGGAGCGTGGACTCTTACTAGGACTTTATATCGAGTGCTGGCATGCCAAGGAGAGCTTCCCAGAACTCATATGGTGTCTGTACGGTCTCGAAACTGGAACCAGACACAGTATCGGTATAATCAGAACACCCCAATAGTGTTTGTGGGTGGTGTTCCACGATCAGGGACCACTCTGATGCGTGTCATGCTCGACGCCCACCCTGACATCCGCTGCGGGGAGGAGACGCGGGTGATCCCTAGGATGCTGGCCCTGCGGCAGGCATGGGGAAGGCAGGACTCGGGCGAACGCTGGGCTCTGGAGGACGAGGGAGTCAGTCAAGAGATGCTGGACGCTGCAACCACTGCCTTCCTCCTGGAGGTCATCGCACGTCATGGAGAACCCGCACGAGTGCTGTGCAATAAAGACCCCTTTACACTGAAGAGCGCAGTTTATCTGTCACACATTTTCCCCAAGTAAGATTAGAGGATTATCTTATTTAATTTTATGCTAATTAAAAAGTTCTGCACAAAGACATTTACATTAGTTATTAATTTTATTTTGCTTGATAAGATTAAATCAATATAAAAAAATCAGTAAGCATAGTTTGTAAATAATTACACCATCATTCAAGAGTTTGGGGTTAGTATGATTTAAAAAAAAAAAAATTAGCAGTGATGCATTAAATTTATCAAATGTGACAGTCTTTCACATTATAACCAAAAAATATATATATTTCAAATAAATACTGTTCTTTTTAACTTTCTGTTCATCAAAGAATCCACCAAAAAATATTATGGTAAGCAGCACAACGGCTTTCACCATTGATTATAATAAGAAATGTTTCTCGAGCAGCAAATCATCATATTAGAATGATTTTTGAAGGATTATTATGTGACACTGAAGACTGGCGTAATGATGCTAAAAATTCAGTTTTATATCACAGGATTATATTAGGGCTACATGCGAGAAAATGCCCCCTTAAGAACAATGTGCATTTACTTTTAAATTATAACATATTTAGATGCTAAACAAGTGTAGCATGTGCAGGATGATGATGTATCAGCCAATGTGTTATTATAGGAAATAAATAGAAACCTTTGCTAATTTAGATGTTATAGAACAAAATGTAAAATGATTCAAAGAGGCCATCTTACCCCACTACATTTTATATAAATATACAGTATATATATATATATATATATATATATATAAATTACTAAATCAACAATTCTGTTTAAAATTACAATTTGACAATTTGAATAATTGAATAACCGATGACAGACGAAGCAGAATCCCAGTAAAAGAGATTCATCTGAAAGGTATTTACATAAAGATTTACATAATTAATTCCCCATATTTTAATTGAAGAAATGTCATAACAGCAAGACTATGAATGCAAATTGAATTATTTCACTCAAGTAACCTATAATAATGGAAGCAAAGATGTCTTAAATGTACATCTAATACATGTAAATACGGAATAATCACCCCATTAATTAATCTAACATAATACAATGTCCTAGATCACTATTTTCCAGAGACACAAAATCAATTTAACTCAAAAATATTTTGACTGACTAAATCTCAGAAATGTTGATAGCGTAAATTACGGTAAATTTGTTTAAAAATAGCCATTCATCAAAAGTGCTGAGATGAGATTCTGTGTCAATACTGTATTCAAATAAACAAATGTCTAAAATAATTGCTTTGCCTTTGTTGCTGTTGCTGTTCAAATGCCAGAAAAATCCTTTCCATTTCTCATCCTTTTTAATGGCATTTTACTCATTCCACCTGTCATCATCTGTCCTTTCAGCTCGAAATTCCTGCTAATGCTCAGAGATGGTCGAGCGTCAGTTCACTCTATGATCTCCAGACGAGTGACTATCTCTGGCTTCAACCTGTCCAGCTACAGGGACTGTCTGACTAAATGGAGCAATGCTATTGAAGTGATGCTCTCCCAGTGTATGGCTGTAGGCCAAAGACGGTGTATGGTGGTCCGCTATGAGGATCTGGTGCTGCAGCCACGAGCCACCATGCAGCGTGTGCTTCATTTTCTCAAATCCCCGTGGCATGAAGGGGTGCTTCACCATGAGGAGGCCATCGGACGGCCAGGAGGGGTATCACTGTCTCGGTAGGGTGAAATTACATTTCATGTTTTAAGCCAAGGATAGGCACCGTTGGTCCTGGAGTGCCGCTGTCCTGCAGAGTTTAGCTCCAACCCTGAAAAAAAACTCATGCCTGTAGTAGCCTTAGGCTGTGTTCAAAATCGTCCCCTATACCCTCAATTACTATTCCCTACATAAGTCCACTAATATAGTCCACTTGAAGGAGTGAATGAAAACGAGTGAGTGAATTTTGGACACTAATTGCACCTGAAGGGCTGCTGCTTTTGCATAGTTTGTGCTTGCGGTTTAATAATCATTTGAAACTCAGCAAACTGGCAGCTCCAGTAGTAATGAAAGTATTTATCTTCAACTCTGTCATGGAAACTAGCATGTATAAACCTTAATTAAACTATTTAATAATCAATTAAAAGGGAATTTATACCTATGATATTACGCTGTAGCCACATTGGACCTGCGTTTTAGCCTTACACGACAACAGCTTTTTGGGTTCTGCAAGACTGGAACAACTGGAAGAACTGGAAGAGAGAGCTACTCTCTGAGAGAACAAAGGAAATTAACATTTGAACTCACTCTTGTGAAGTTAGCATAGCCATTTGAGACGAAAAGTCTCACCTCAGAATACTTTTCTCTTTCCCCACTCCTTCTCCCTCATGTTGAGATCACCTGAAACTCACCCATGTGAACAATTATCATACAGTTTTATACATGTTTGGTATCATTTGAAATGTCTCAGTGCGACTGGTACAAATGTCTCATTCCCAAAGAAGTAAACCAAAAGGTAATAAAGTTCTTAAGAGTTTAGAAATATCTTGCACACAGAAGGGTGTGACTTTCAGGCAAATGGTTTTCTGCTCTCAAAAGGTGTAACCTCTGAATGCAAATTTCCATTGTTAGCAAATGTTTCCATGTGAAAGAGGTTTCTTTCTGTCTATATAATGTAATGCAGCAAAGGGCTCGGCGCGTTTTGTAACTCAAAATTAGCCCGTGATGCAGAGTGGATGCCGGCACTCCGCATCATGTATTTCTAAATGTCGGATTTAACCTACATCTTTTACTCATTTGATGTTATTGTATTGATTATCTTTAAATTGATTATTAAATTGACATGATACATTCACCTGACATAATGAATTGTAAACAATTGATTTTATTCTAACTGGCTTTGGCATTATTTTCAGTGAATAGTTAAAAAGAATAGTCAAACATTCGCTCACATTTAATGATGCCCAGATATCATTAAAAACCTTTTCATTTATGGAGTCAGATGACATAACGAGAAAATATATATGAGAAAATGTATTTAATTTAAAGGCGCTCTAAGCGATGTCACGCGTTTTTTAGGCCAAAACATTTTTTGTCACATACAGCAAACATCTCCTCACTATCCGCTGGCTGCCTGTCCCCTGAACACACTGTAAAGAAACGCGATCTCTGTAGACAGCCCAGGCTCCACACACAGCATCAAAAACAAACTGCGGCGACCCGCTCCCCGAAACATAACAAACTGTTCCAGCCAATGACCGATAAGAATGGTATGGGGGTGTGGTTTGGGGGGTTAGTGAGCGGATGAGGAGGAGGGAGGGTCTAGCTAGCCTCCGTTTTGTTTGACAATAGTTCGAACGTCAACAAGAAGTGACGTCACCCAGGATCGCTTAGAGAACCTTTAATCAAAGTACTTTGGCACGCGGAAAGACAGTAACACGCAGAGACCTTCACCCGCTGATCGAATGCCGACATTGGAACGATCGATCGGCCTTACATTTCCATGAAAACGCAAACTTTTGAAAACGGTTTCAAATACACCGTTTTTGAAAACGGTCTCCGTGTTAAGAATAAAAACGCGAATCTCTGAAGACGATGACGTCATGCACATTGCATATTACGTGTCAGTATAGTTTTCATCGCCATCTAATGGCCTGGCAGCAAATACAGCGTTTTTAGTCGTGGATTGCGTGTGAATGGGGATCGTTTTGACAATGGTGTCGTCTGTACGTGGAAAACTCAAAGGAAAAACTTCTCCGTTTTAAGCATATCGTTGTCGTGTAAACGTACCCTTAATGATCCTGAAGACATTGATAAGCTTGTTCAGGTGTGTTCGATTAGGGTTGGAGGAGCGGCACTCCAGGACCGACGTTGCCTCTCTCTGTTTTTCGGCCTTCTTCTGTTTCTTGTCAATACTCACTTCTCGCTATGTTTTTAAGAACCGAACGCTCCACGGATCAAGTGATCAAACCAGTTAACCTGGAAGCTCTCACACGATGGGTCGGCCACATCCCAGCAGACGTCCGGGTGGACATGGAGAAGATCGCTCCAATGCTCCGTAAACTGGGCTACAACCCCAACGCCAATCCCCCAGACTATGGTCCACCAGATCCCGAAGTGATCAACAATACTCAAAGGGTATATTTGAACACAGAATATGTGCATTTCAACTCATTCAGTGCAACTCAAAGATCAGAGTTGCTACACTCTATAAAATAAAAATAAGATTGTATCTTTATTTTTATAAAGATAAAAATAAAGGTTCTTATCAGTGTTGGGGAAGCAACTCTGAAACTGTAGTTTGACAAGCTACTTGTAAGTTAAACTTAAGATACTATAAAAAAGTAGCTACATTGAAACTACTTAGATTTTTTTTTTTACAATGACATTGTATATTACAAATAACTGAATAAATGTTTTGAGTTTCTTTTCGGTTGACAGATACTTTGCCAAAACAATGGCGCAAAACACAACATTGGTGATCTTTTAGGTTGATTCCGAAAATTGTGGCAGGACAGATTAAACTATGGAAGAAATGGACATTTGATATAGAATGCAATAAAGCAGGACAATTAATCAATTTAAAAAGGCTATTATTCGCCTGTATGTGCTTGAAGTCCTCGACACAGACACGTTTTAATTTTTGGCTTGCATAAATTACTGTATATACAACATAGGTCGATTAGGTCGATTCATATGAAATCTCAACTGCATGTCCTTTACATAATCATCAGACGATCTCTTCTCGGTGAACCGTAAAGCCGCAAGATGTGTGATCAAAACAATGGATGGCGATAATGCGCACAATTTTAGTTTGCAAAAATGTTCTGATCTTATAATGTAACACTTCAATGCTTTGCAGGCTCGTCAAAACGTAAAACAGAATGTATCTTTTTTTGCACTACACCGCTACTTGCTGGAAAAAGTAGTTAGCTGCTGGAAAAGCTACACTGATTTAAAAGTAACTGAGCTGCTGCAAACTACTGAAAAATGTTAGTAGCTACTTGTAGTAAGCTACACAACACTGGTTCTTATTGGCATCTGTTGTGTATTGCAGAGTTGCATATTTTGTCCTTACGACACTCCGTACTGGTTCCTTGTTATATTCCTTGTTATTTGTGAAAATGCTTGTGTCAGTGTCATCAGTCAAGCAGTGCATGATCATCATTTAAAGATGTGACAGCATCTGGTTCCATGAAGAACATCAATGACACAAAAGGTTCTTTAGTGGAAAATGGTTCTTTAGATTTTTTTTTTAAATCTAATTTTTTAGATGTATTTTACACTAAGAAAAAAATGGTTCTTTTAAAAACTAAAAGGTTCTTCCAGGAACAAAAATGATTCTTCTATGGCATCATTGCGAGAGAAATGTTTTTTGTAAAACAATTTATTTATTTATTATATATATAAATACAAAGTTTTTTTTGTAATAAATAAAGTAATTTCCATTTTTTCCATGTTTTTTCTTAGGTATTGAGAGGAGATTTTAAAACTCCTACAAACCTGAAAAGATGGGCACAAGTAGGTGCATGCTTTTGATTGTTTAACATACTTTGGCCCCCAAAACTATTTTTGAAACACAAAATTTCTGAATGTCATTAAGTTGGATGACAAACATTAAAGAAAGTGTCATTTATTTGAAAGAAAGACAGAACACAAGCACACATTTCAGGCTAAACTGTTGACATAAATATGTTTGTTAGGTTTGAAATGATATATAAAAAAGATTGTATATGATTTTGGACACTTTCTGGTTGTCAAAGTTTAGTAGAACATAGTTACGATGAACTACATGTGTGGTTATGCTAGGTTAAATTGGTTTTAGTTGATATAAAGTCATTGCAAAACTGGCACAAGCCAGTTGTAGAAAATTTCTAGTGTCGCTTATGTGCAGATGCCACTTGATTTGGTGTTTTGTTGCTAAAAGCAATTATATTAGGCCTATATGTCCCAATACTTTCTGTGGGCACTGTGTAAGTTGCATATATTATGATTATAGGCTGCTGTCTTTAATTGTTTTGCATTAACCAAGCTCATTTTGAAAACATTTCTTTCTTTTGACAGGTATCTCCAAAGATAAATTCTAAAGGAGGAAGAAACTGAACAGCGTTCTGCATTGATTGCAATATGTTCAGCTTTGGATAACTTGACCATTTTGTACACCTTGGAGGCCTTTCACATGATAGAGAGCAACCTGATGAGGAATATAATTATTATGCAATAACTGTGGTTATATTCCTGTGTCACCTGAACTGTCTTATTTTGAAATCACCAGAATCATTCAGAGAATCAAGTTAACTGATGTAGGCTAAGTCTTAAAAAAGAACATTAAATTCAGGTATATTTACTTCCTGATGTTCTCGGAAGAGTATTAATCGATGGAAGCTAACATCGCTGAAGTGAACTTCATAAACACTGCAATTTTGTGTCTTGTTTTAGGAAATGAGAAAAGCGTGACGTTGCGCTTGGTGACGCACTGAATGCTGTTGCTATGTGCCAGCGTTCATTTTCTTGACCTAGATATTATTAAACGGAGCCATTCTTTTTTCTATTGCCAAAATTAACTCGTTTACCTCAGTGTTTCTAAAAGTGCATTTTTTCAATAAAAAATATTTCATAGAAATCGCGCAATGTGTTATTTTGAAGCCCATATGTGTCATTATTTTGATCTCAAAACATTTGATCAAGGCCAACCGTGTGCAGAAAATCATATCACTCCGCCGGTCCCCCAACCCCCACGAACACAAATAAACAAATCTGTTTTACGTCCACAAAACTAATGTATAAAATACTTATTGGTATATGTTCAGCATAACACATATGTTATTGTTTCCCACGAAACCAAGTTTTCAAATGTGCAGTTTTTTAAATAGTGCGTTGGGCGTAGCGGCGGAAGGATACATCACGTTGTGTATAAAAACCCGGATCTTTTGTTTTGAGCAGTTAGAATCGCTCCTGTGACGAAAGAAAAGAGACTCATAAACTCCGTGCTCCTCAAGAAAAGAACATTTGTTTGTAAGTATGAAGTAAATCTATGCAAACGACGCCAGATATATCACTGCTTATAAACAACCGAATTTTGTTTGATTCGAGGTCTTTGTCGAATATATATACGTATATTTTAGAAAAAGCTAACGCGGTAGCTTTTATGCTAGCCGGCCTGGTGGTTTCTGAGGACCAAATTTGTATGTTCTTTGTGATTTAGTTTCCTTTTTTTTTGTCATTTAATGTGGTTAAGTATTTAAATAATGTTGAATAATCGTCGATGGGTTATGTATGTTTTGTACGCATTCAGTAATTTGGCGGCGAATTAGGCCGCATAATAGGGCGGTGAGGTCATCGAATATCTGAATTCATCTAGCAGCTAAGTTTAAAACATTTGTCAATCGTCGACACGTTATTAAACTATTTCTCCCATCGAATTATAACTCGTATTCATATGTATGTTTATGTATTCTACTTATTTATTTTGGCCATTTTCTGTTAATGTCGCCATTTTGTTTTCAATCGCCCATTTGTTAAACCTGACTCACAGCTGTGTCCGCAGTAATGATGGCGTAAGCACACCTACCTTGTTTGTTTCTTTTATGAGTAACCTTCTAGAGAATTCCTGGGCTTGTCTAACGAACCTAAATGACCAAATTTTCAGTGCTCCACATCAACGCTTGTCCACGACAAGTTAGATTTATTTTTTTGAAGTGGTGAGTGAAATATTTTTACCTCCCCGACCGGACAAGTAGCCTGATTAAAACGTCAATAACAAAATAACCAGGGCATCACCGAAACGAGAGAAGGTTATGTTTTATTTGTTTTACGTTAGTGTAAATATGGATAATATATGTAACGTTACATACTGACTGTAACCTAAGGTTGCGCAGTTGAGGCTCGTGCATCCTCTCAAGGAGAAATCGAAACAAATGAGCGAAGCACACAAAATCAGTTTCTATACTGCGAAAAAAAAAACTACAATTTTTTTTTAAATATATATTTATACCATGATAGTTGGACAACATCACACAGCCAAGAGTGCTGTCTTCAATACCATCAAAATGTGACTGATTTCATATTGTTCAATAAAGTAGTTAATATTAATGTCACTTACATTTTAGATTAAATTAACTTCTATTTCTGTAGCAAAAATATCCAAATAAACATTCCGCAGAACCATAGCTCATCTCACAGCAACACTCATCCGTGTTTCATTACTGAATGATTCTGCGTTTTAATCAAATTGGTTGTCAAAGATTCAATGACCTATTCATAAACCACTGCCATATTCCAAATTGTTTGAATGACTCGCTCATTAAGATGATCACTGGCTGTCACCTACTGGTGGTTTAATTTCATGTTTAAAAGTCAAATTATCCCCCCTCCTACCTAACACTTATTTGTATATTTAAAACCATCTTATAACATTAATGCAGTTGTATTTTCTCAGTGCAAGTGATTTTAATTTGATAGGCAACAGCCATAAATACTGTCTTGTTGTAATTGAATTAGGCAAATTTAAGAATTTTAAATTATACATAATCTTTATAAGACTAAGGGGTGGAAATGCCCTGGGGTAAATTTCACAAATGCAGGTTTTAGTTTTTCCAAGCTGATAGAACACAGAATATTGCTTCAGAATAAATTATATTTGCACCAAAAATCCTTTTTGTCCGGACAAGCAACTATTTTTACTCTGACAAGCGCATGGCATTCACCAATGCAATATATGCTGAAATTAATTTACATTTGTTTGCTTTCTAGCGTAAAGATGCAGATCTTTGTGAAGACGCTGACTGGCAAGACCATCACTCTTGAGGTTGAGCCCAGCGACACCATTGAGAATGTAAAGGCCAAGATTCAGGACAAGGAAGGCATTCCTCCTGACCAGCAGCGTCTGATCTTCGCTGGCAAACAGTTGGAAGATGGACGCACACTGTCCGACTACAACATCCAGAAGGAGTCCACCCTCCATCTGGTGCTCCGCCTCAGAGGTGGAATGCAGATCTTCGTCAAGACCTTGACTGGCAAGACCATCACTCTTGAGGTTGAGCCCAGCGACACCATTGAGAACGTCAAGGCCAAGATCCAGGACAAGGAAGGCATTCCTCCTGACCAGCAGCGTCTGATCTTCGCTGGCAAACAGTTGGAAGATGGACGCACGCTGTCCGACTACAACATCCAGAAGGAGTCCACCCTCCATCTGGTGCTCCGCCTCAGAGGTGGTATGCAGATCTTCGTAAAGACCCTAACTGGCAAGACCATCACTCTTGAGGTTGAGCCCAGCGACACCATTGAGAACGTCAAGGCCAAGATCCAGGACAAGGAAGGCATTCCTCCTGACCAGCAGCGTCTGATCTTCGCTGGCAAACAGTTGGAAGATGGACGCACACTGTCCGACTACAACATCCAGAAGGAGTCCACCCTCCATCTGGTGCTCCGCCTCAGAGGTGGAATGCAGATCTTCGTAAAGACCCTAACTGGCAAGACCATCACACTTGAGGTTGAGCCCAGCGACACCATTGAGAATGTCAAGGCCAAGATCCAGGACAAGGAAGGCATTCCTCCTGACCAGCAGCGTCTGATCTTCGCTGGCAAACAGTTGGAAGATGGACGCACGCTGTCCGACTACAACATCCAGAAGGAGTCCACCCTCCATCTGGTGCTCCGCCTCAGAGGTGGTATGCAGATCTTCGTAAAGACTTTGACTGGTAAGACCATCACACTTGAGGTTGAGCCTAGCGACACCATTGAGAACGTCAAGGCCAAGATCCAGGACAAGGAAGGCATTCCTCCTGACCAGCAGCGTCTGATCTTCGCTGGCAAACAGTTGGAAGATGGACGCACACTGTCCGACTACAACATCCAGAAGGAGTCCACCCTCCATCTGGTGCTCCGCCTCAGAGGTGGAATGCAGATCTTCGTAAAGACCCTAACTGGCAAGACCATCACACTTGAGGTTGAGCCCAGCGACACCATTGAGAATGTCAAGGCCAAGATCCAGGACAAGGAAGGCATTCCTCCTGACCAGCAGCGTCTGATCTTCGCTGGCAAACAGTTGGAAGATGGACGCACACTGTCCGACTACAACATCCAGAAGGAGTCCACCCTCCATCTGGTGCTCCGCCTCAGAGGTGGTATGCAGATCTTCGTAAAGACCCTAACTGGCAAGACCATCACACTTGAGGTTGAGCCCAGCGACACCATTGAGAATGTCAAGGCCAAGATCCAGGACAAGGAAGGCATTCCTCCTGACCAGCAGCGTCTGATCTTCGCTGGCAAACAGTTGGAAGATGGACGGACACTGTCCGACTACAACATCCAGAAGGAGTCCACCCTCCATCTGGTGCTCCGCCTCAGAGGTGGTATGCAGATCTTCGTAAAGACCCTAACTGGCAAGACCATCACACTTGAGGTTGAGCCCAGCGACACCATTGAGAATGTCAAGGCCAAGATCCAGGACAAGGAAGGCATTCCTCCTGACCAGCAGCGTCTGATCTTCGCTGGCAAACAGTTGGAAGATGGACGGACACTGTCCGACTACAACATCCAGAAGGAGTCCACCCTCCATCTTGTTCTGCGTCTTCGTGGGGGCAATTAATATGCTTAAGTTTAATATATAAGTCTTGAAAATTATCAGACCAATTACCCTTTCCTTTGTTCATCTTAATCATTCAATAAAGTTCTGGCATTCCTGATTTTCCTGTCTGTCTCATCTCTTGGGTCTTTTACTAAAATCTTTAATGATTACAAATGTTGACATTTTGGGGATTAAAATTGTTTTAAAGATGTTTTTAATGGTTTAAAGTCAAATATAAAATGGTTAAAGCATAATTGACTGATTATAGTTTTTAATTGTGTAAAGGTGCACTTTGTACTTTCTTGGGACACGAGAAATGTTAACCCTCACATCTAAAACTAAAAGTGGTTCTTCTGAAGTCTTAAGGTAATTTCACATGTTTTATCTTCTACAGGGGTTTTCAAACTTTGGTCTAGTGGGGAAAAATGCAATGTTAAATTTGATTAAAATAAAAATATTAGTAATCCATTTAAATATACAATGTGAAGATGCTACAATAAATGTACAAAATACAATTAACAGTTCATTACTGTATGAGGATTTTTGAGCATTCTATTATAAAAGATATATCTTAAATTTTAGGGTGATCATCTCATAACGAGGGTGATCATCTTTAGGGATCCATGGCATAAAGACTGAAAAGCCCTCTTCTAATACATGGGTAATTCTCTTGCGTCATAACCTCTGTGGCACGCTGCAATTATTAAACCAGCCACAAGATGTCTCCAGAGATTTGCAAAAAATCTAGTCATTGTGACCCCTTTTAATGCCTTTATATTTTGGAGGGGTCGTGTCTGTTATGGCTCTTTTAAGTGTCTTTCGTATGACCCTTGAGTCATTATGGCTGAATGGGTAGTGATGAAATAGTAAATGCAGGTGCACTTAAAATCCTGGTTTGGTTTGAGGGCAACTGTTAAATAGTTTAACTATATTGTAGAGACTGTTTACCCTTAAGAGAAGCTGAATTTGTTTTTGTACTTTTTGCACAAGAGAGCTTGCAGCTTATAATGGTCCTAAATAAACCATTATCTAACATATCTGCTTTGTTTTACTACTATTCAGTTTGTTTTGGCATCAAATAGTGTAGCAGACACTTCATTCAAATTGACCAGCAGCACTTGCGTCTTGAGCAACCTAACGCAGGGCTGTCAAATGATTAATCGTGATTAATCACATCCAAAATAAAAGGTTTTTTTTTTACATAATATATGTGGGTGCACTGTGTATAATTATTTTATATATAAAAATACACACACATGCTTTATATTTAAGAAATATTTTCATGTATATACTGTATATAGATTTATATATAATTTATATTATATATAAATATAAATATTTTATATATAAATAATATTTTTTTCTTAAATATACATGCATGTGTGTGTATTTATATATATACAAAATAATTATACACAGTGCACCCACATATATTATGTAAAAAAAAAAACTTTTATTTTGGATGTGATTAATCACGATTAATCCTTTGACAGCCCTGCGTAAAGATTCAAATCAATCTTTGTGTTAGTAATTCCAGGCGATCACATACAATGTCTCTTGGCTACTTACTGCATTGTCTTAAAAAGAATCCATACTGATATCAGTCTAGAAATCAGTCCAGCCATATACCTAACTAAAATACTTATCTGGTCTTCTAAAATATTGCAGCACTAAATGAGAAACAAGCCTTTAAGAGCTCTGCACAGCAAAAACAACTGCACTTATTGAAAGCAATACATAAAGCTGTTGATGTTGGCCTGTTAAATGTTCAGTGAAGAATGCCATATTGTAATGTTTAAAAAGTAAGATTCAGCTGGTCCGATGAGTGTTCTAGTGTGACTGATCTTACATTTTTCTGAATTCAACTAATTCCTTGTGTCAATATATAGGCTAAGGTTAGTTACATAAGACACTATTCCGATGCATCACAGTGTCATGTGCTTTCAGAACATTTCATTCACTAAATACACAGACACATTTCTATGCACTTGCAAATATCATTTATAATTTGTGGTTTATCATATTTGTCATGCTCTTTAGGGCCCAAAAAGTTTTCTTGTGTTCCATGCAGTCCAGATTTGTCTTAGATTAGAAATTAAAAATCACATGAATAGCCACTTTGAAAAAGCTCTTTTGATGATGTTTCGCCTTCACCCTGATTGGCATTTCACAGTATTATAGTATAAAATGTCAAATGAGGTGAAAGTTTCAGTTTGGACTCGTTGATGTTAGACTTGCACTGGCACACCAAGAGAATCCTGATAAGCAACTGAAACATGAAACTCCTTTGTGGAGTGTGAATGCTTTTATTTGGCAACCTTCAGATCGGACGCCCTAATGATATACCGGTATGTCAAGTAAACTACTGAAAGGCGTTCACAGTTTTATTTAAAATTTAAATAAAAAATAAATAAAAAAAATATCCTATTTAATTATATAGGTCCCTGAATACCACTCTGTCACAAAAAAGAGAGAGATTCAAACATGCAAAATGTCTTAGGATGGATCAATTTTGTGCTTCAATGCATTTAAACTTATATGTTTTCCTCCCCAAAATCTGTGAAAAGTATCAAACCATGACAGATACTCCGTCATAACTTTTCATGTCACGGAGATAAATATAGTTGCGTCACCACGGCTAAGACACAGATCAGAGATTCAAGTAATTGTGTTACATACATATGAGTTATCAGTGGCAAATACTTATCCAATAAAGATACAATATTCTTATCATGTTCTTCCAGCAGCTCTGTTTGAACATTTATTGTGCCACTTTCAGGCACTACATCATTTGCTCTGTCAGACATAATACACCATGTTCTCAATGGCATAAAACAGGTTTTACAGTCAAAATACATAAATTATTATTAAAATATCAGTAAAATCAAATCTGCATATAGCCCTGGCAAAATTATTAATATAATAGGATGATGTTTTAAATGCATAGCGAACTGCAGAATATATTACTTGTTCATTTTCTCAACAGGACATATTTTTATTTTCACCCTGAAATGTCACACCTGATTCAATTAGTCAGCTACATAAGCCTTTGAGCCTTTAATTAATTGAATCAGGTGTGCCGTTTCAGGGTTAAAACAAAAATATGGCCTGTCAGGCGGTCCCTGCAGGAGAGGCTGAGAACCAACAAAAAAAAAAAAATATGGGAGGCCTTTCTATCTTGCAATCCAAAAATTTAGCACAAAAAAAATAATGCACAAACACTGGGGGCCAGTATTCAATATTTTCTCCTTGTAAACAGCTGTTAAAAGATGCCAAACAAAGTGAATTAGTGCATTAGATCTTCCAGGCAGGCAGTCTCTTATTATCACCCATAGTGGGACACATACACAGGCTACTGTATAACTACATTACCCAGAATCCTCTGGTTTATAGGTGGCGCTTGGAGCATCGTAAACATGGTAATCACACAGCAAGAGCGCTATAAAACCTGCTCGAGCAGCGAGCCGGACTTTAACATCACTCACAGCTGTAATGTACGTGGCCATAAAGCCAGAAGAGCATTAATAACTCAATGACCAGAGTTTTATGGCTTTATCTCGTATGTAAGTGGTAGTTTGTTCAGCTGTTGAGGACTCACTCGTGCTTTGAGCTCCGTGCCCTTTCTGGAAGAATTTACTTTATTCTCAATCCTTTGCGTTCATTTGTAACGTGAACTGTGTGAAGTAAGGATGGCGGTGTCTAAATCTACATTAGCGATCGTTTTTTTAGTTCTGGGAGGTTTGGCAGTTTTGTTCGGGACTGTCCTGGTGTTTGTTGGACCGATTATAATAGACGATCAAATAGTGAAGGTAAGTTAAACACCTCACAGGTGCACGAGACGCTCTAATCAAACATCTGCATTTTTAAATGACATTAAGTTGCAAAACCCCCTGTTTTAGTGTCGAAAATCCTTGAATTGAGCTTTATGACGTTCTATAGTTGTGCGTTTAAAATAAAATGCATACATGGGAACGATTATTAAGTATTTAATAATATAGGCTAACATAGCCCGATTACATGAATAATGTGCTACAAACATGCGTAGTACTTGAAATCTAAACTAAGATTAGATCGTTGTGGTAGTCTTAGTTTGTTAAACTTGTGTAATCAATCACATTGCCAGATTCATAATTACTGACGCCTTTGTTTCCTTCAGAAGATGTTTTGTTTTTAAAAATGCTATTTGCAGGGGTCTGTTCTTGTATATTACCGTGGTGTTATTTAAAAAAATATATCAGAAATGTTTCTTAAACGGCAAATCATATATTTGACTGAAGACTGGCGTAATGATGCTGCAAATTCAGCTCTCTTCACACGATTAAATTACAGTTTACAAAAGAAACATTAAAACAGAAATTCAAATTGTAATATTTCACTTTTTTTTTTTTTTTTTTTTTTTTTTTTAAACGCCAAGCCATCTGTTTTGTGTCAGCTAAGATTATTGAAAAAAGGGGCATGAAATTATAAGACTAGGTCTTCCTCATGCTCCTATTCAGCATTGAATGTTATTTTGTTGATGTGATTAATATTGTGTCTGTAATAACATCATGACTGAATAAAGAACTTAACTGAACTGATCAAATTAATGCAGCCTTGGTGAGAGACTTGCACATAAGCGCCTTTTTTTTTAGATGGAATTTTTTTTTTTTTTTTGAGGACTAAGTTAAAGATTAAAATTACTGTTCCTCATCTCCTTTCCCTTTTCAATCACCTTTTTTTTTTTCTTTTTTTTTTTGGTGTGACAAATTGTCTGTGTTGTCCCTCAACAGGCCATTAATCTGTATTTAATAATTAATTATAAAATGTTTTAAGTTAAACCCTTTTAAATGCAGCATATCCCACTCTGCTCACTAACCATATTTGCATACTTCAAATCCTCACAGAATGTAGAGATAAACCCGAAGAACGATCTCTCCTACACTATGTGGAAGGACATCCCGGTTCCCTTCTTTATGTCTGTATATTTCTTCCATATCGTCAATCCTGATGAAATCCTAAAAGGAGAAAAGCCCATGGTGATACAGAGGGGGCCGTATGTTTACCGGTAAGAAGTGTTACCTTTTTCGGTAAATCTATTTTGAAACCATATGGATTGTACAAATCACTAGATCTGGCTGGACATATGGCTTTGTTGATGTTCCGACCTATGCCCTATGGCGCTGAAGTTCATGGTAGGTTTGTGCCCAGCGGTTTGCCTGTGCATTCTGTCAGTTGTCCAGGCGGGACTACCATAATGTCTGTTATTCGTCCCCTCAGGATGTAAAGTGTCTTGTCCGTCCCAGAGTGATTTGTAGAGATATAACTTTGTGCAATATACCTGTAGTTGACTGGGTTTGTTGGCACTGGTCAGTATAACTCTAAAAGAAATTCCTCTTGAGGGCATAACCTGCCCCGACATTTAACAAAACATCCCCTTTCTTGATGGACTTGTGATCTTTAGCACAGACAAGAGGTTTGTTTGCAGTAGACGGCTAGACGCACTGTACAGTTGGTAGGTCTGTCTGGTGGCCTTAACCTTACTTGAAGGGCTGAATTCTTTTTTTTTTTTTTCTTTTTTTTTTTTTGCCTTGACAAAGACTTGACAAAGTAGATTAGGAAAAAAACAAATTATTTCACTTGAACAGTGATATACACTACCATTCAAATGTTTGGGGTCAGTAAGCTTTTTTTTGGGGGGTTTTTTTTGGAAGGAGATCAAAAGTCTCATTTTATTAGTGTATGCATCCTTGGTGAGCATAAAATACTGATTTCAAAAACATAAAAAAACTTTTTTTTTTTTGTGCAATCAACAAATTGTTATCCCTTTTCTATCCTTTTTTTCTTTATTCCCTAATCTGCATCTGTCTATTATTATGATTATTATTATTATTATTATTATTATTGGAGTGGAACTGATCCTACGCTCGAGCCATGCATACTAGAGCATTTCACTGAGTAAAAACAGACACTGCTGGAACTGAACGAGAACAAAGGTCCACACTTCTGCTCAATACACAGTCTGATTTTCTAACTTATGAAAATGATGCTAATCCTAACATTTTATTCGCAGCCTCTATCTGGAATTAAAATAAGATTCCACATAAGAACATTTTTATTTATTTAGGGTAATCATAATTTTATACACTGTCCAGTCATAATAAAAAAGCTGTTTGGATTGCAATAGGCAAATGCTTAAGAGTCAGTGATTGTATCATTATTGCAGTGATTATGTTTCTAGTATGTTGCAGTATGTGTAGCAACAGTTCTTCTAAAATGTTGTGATGTTATTTCCATCAAGAGGTGCTTCAATTTTTGCTCAAGATCTTGTATTGTCAATGCAAGAGTCCAGCACTGTGTAAAGTCTCCTCCAGCACATCCCAAACACTCTCAATGAATTTAAGCTCTGGACTCAGAGGAGACGATTCATGTGTGGAAATGATTCTTCATGATCCTCACAACCATTCTTTCACAGTTTGAGCCTGATGAATATTGACATTGTCATCCTGGAATATGGCCATGATGTGTCTCATACATGGTGGTTTAAGAAATGAAAAGCTACACACTCCATCAATTAGGGTTAGAAGAACTGTTGCCAAACATATAACATGCTAGAAACATCATAATCACTGAAATAATGATCCAATCATTGACTCTTAAGCATTTGCTTATATGCTTTTTTTTTTTTGGCCGAGCAGTGTATGTTACATTTTATAAACATCAGAAATGCCTTTTAACTGCTGTATTTATAGTTCTATTTCATGTATGTAGTGTACTTCTGTTGGCATGCTGTTTGGAGAGAGTACATTTATTGCTAGAAAGTTGTTTTTGGCCAGATCATTTTGTTGTTTTATGATTGGTGGTTAAATGTGCATTTGTGTCCTCCCTCAGTCGTGTGGCTTCTTTTTTTAGATGAGACACATGACATGTTTGTGTGAGCTTAACTTAAACAAAGCATGTGTTTGGATTTCACAATCTGAGAGGGAAGTCTTTGCGTGTCCAATGTGCCATTTATGCTGACCGAGAACCTCAAAGTTGTTCCTCTAAAAGCTGAATTTTGCAGTGTTAGGATAATATTATTGCTTATCAGCTGGCTAAGTCATGTTTTTTTCCTGATGTTGTGACTCGTATCTCTTTCAGTGAAAAGCGCTGGAAGGACAACATTACATTCCATGACAACAACACGGTTTCGTATATGGAATATCGGCAGTATTTCTTTGAGGAGAGCATGTCTGTGGGAGATGAATCCGATGTGGTCACCATCCCTAACATGCTAGTGCTGGTGAGAATTTGATTAAATATTTAGCCCACCATGTCGGGTTGGGAATCAAAAATCAATTCCAATTCTGGAATCGAATAGTTATCGAATCGTAACGATTCCTTTGCCGCCTCTCATACTGAACAGCGCGATACTGAACAGAGTTCTCTTCCACATCTTTAAGCCCTTGAACAGACAAATACACACAAATGTCAAAATGTCCTTGTCAACTGTTTACGGTCGCTTTAGACGTAAGCAATTAAGAAAACTCATGTTTAACAGTATATTGGATCTGTAATATTCTTATATTGGCTAATATTCCTGCTGCCGTTTGTCGTGGAAATTCTATTCTAAAATAACAATTAAAGAACAAATGAAGATCTCGAAAGTCTTAAGTATTTATTTCTTGCAAAAAAGGCAGTTCAAACACAGAGTCTGATATGAGAAGGGAAAAGGTCTTCTCATTTTACACAGTTTACATACAAAAGATCATCCTCCAAAACGTACCCCTCCCTTATCTTCGTAGTACAAGAGCTTGTGTTTTTCCAAACCTAAGGCCCTTGTATGTGCATAGTTCTTAGTTCCCCATATTCTAACACTTCTTATCTATGTATACCCACACATAAACACACATATGTAATTTCAAAAACAACTAAATGTATGCTTTGCTCTTGGTGCAAGCTTATCTATTTTTGAAAAGAACAGAACAATCTGTCCTTCTGCACACGTCCCATTGACCCATTTGTATAGGAGATAATGCATCTTGCAGTTTCTTTAACACATCTATATTTGTTTGTGTTCTTTAAATGTATATCTCTTGAAACATATCTATATTTTAGAGTAAGATAAGCAAAATCGGAATCGTTAAAATTCAAGCGATACCCGACCACCATGTAAAGCAATTGAGAAGAACTTTAACCACAGTCTTTGATTCACACTTTCAGGGCGCATCGGTAATGATGGAGAATATGCCGTTTCCTATACGTATTTTGCTCAGCACTACGTTCAAGACCTTCAACGAGGGACCTTTCTTGACAAAACCAGTAGGAGAACTCATGTGGGGCTACGACAGCAAGTTGGTGGACTTCCTGAACAATTATCTTCCCGGCATGCTTCCATCCAGCGGCAAGTTTGGCTTATTTGCTGAGGTGAGTTTCCTGTGCACTTAGTTTTCCTGTCACAGTAGCTGGTGTTTTTAGCCTCCGCTGATTTTCTTGCTTTGTTTCTCTCCCTATGTAGTTTAACAACTCAAACTCTGGACAGTTCACCGTCTTCACTGGCCGAGATGACATCCGGAAGGTTCATAAGGTGGACTCTTGGAATGGCCTGAAAAGCGTAAGCCATAAAGGCCCTTTGGGACCATTATAAAACATAAAGGACACTAGCTCTGTTTCAAATCTAGTGAGCTGCCTACCTAGATGACATACTCGGGTCTGAAATGTACACTGCGCATGTACATAAATGCGCAAACTTTTTTAAGGTTTATTCTACATGTTGCATTCTTAAAATGTGCAATTTCAGGGGTGCAGTTAAAATGGTAATATTGTGAAACATTATTACTATTTAAAACAACCGTTTCATTTTTAAATGTAATTCAATCATGTGATGAAAGCTGAGTTTTCAGCATCATTACTCCAGTCTTCAGTGTCACATGATCCTTCAGAAATCATTCTAATATCCCGATTTGGCGCTCAAGAAACATTTCTGATTATTATCAATGCTGAAAACGGTTGTGCTGATTAATATTCTTGCATAAACTTGTCTTTTTTTTCAGGATTCTTTATTTATTTTTTATATATATACCATTGTAAAAGTCTTTACTGTCACTTTATCAATTTAATGCATACTTGCTGGATAAAAGTGGTGATTTCTTTTCTCTTAAAATAAATACTCTTACTGACACCAAACAATAAATAAGTGTTAAACTACAAACATGGCGGATGTGCAACAGTCAAGTAGAGCGTTTTAAATAAAGGGCTTTGAGTTATTAATAATCAGTATCTAACCAGATATTCAATGTTATCCACATTTCATCTGCAACAGCATTGTGAACTTTTATAAATATGCGATTGGTTATCTTTTAAATGCATCCTTACGAGTCTCCGCATGAAAGACACATGGCTAACAGATATACGACAGATACTACATTTCTCTCCGATACGGTAGGAAATAAAAACATTGAACTGACAAGATGATTGACAGGGCAGTTTAAACCGTGACAGGATGTTCCGTTAAAGACGAAGTAGATGGCTTGCATACTCTTCTGCTACACACTCAAAAATATGTACTTTGTCTTCACAAAACGATACATGCGTTTAGGGCGTAGTATAAGTAGGGGAACTGGGACGCAGCATAGGGTTTGTTGCATAAAGGAAGTGAGATGCTGTATGCAAATGTGGTGCTTTGTCATTGGTGCAGGTGGATTACTGGAGGTCTGAGCAGTGTAACATGATCAATGGTACAGCGGGACAAATGTGGCCTCCGTTCATGAACACTGAGTCGACCCTGCCCTTCTACAGCCCTGATGCGTGCAGGTGAACCGCAGACTCTGCCTTCATAAGATGATGCGTGTTTAATGACTGTTTTCTAAGGGCACGTTCTGTGGCTATTCTCCAATCGCAGGTCCATGGAGCTGGTGTACCAGAGGCCAGGTGTGTCGCGTGGGATTCCCGTGTATCGCTTCGTCGCGCCGAAGACTCTTTTTGCTAATGGTGCGGATTATCCTCCCAATGAGGGCTTCTGTCCGTGTCGTCAGTCCGGGCTCCTGAACGTCAGCACCTGCAGACACAGTGAGTCTCTGATCCTCGCACTGCTGCCACTGCACTCACATCTACTGTCAAACATGCTGGCGGATCCATGTCTTATCTTGAGTCAGTAAATGTTCATACTGAGTGAAATCATAATGTGGCCTTTTTTCTTTTTTCTTTTTTTTTTACATTATCTGTTTTTTTCTACCCCTTTTCTTCTTGCCTTTTTTCTATCTTTTTTTTCTGTTTCTGGACTTTTTTTCCCTTTTATATCTTTCCCTTTTTTTTCCTCTTACCCTCTTTTCTTTCGCTTGTTATTTGCATTTCTGTTAATTTTCTTGGTTTAAATTCTTTCAAAAATTTTCCCCATTATATCTATCTTTTCTTACCTTTTTTTTCTTTATTTACCTTATCTATTTTTCTGTTTTCATACCCTTCCCTTTTATTTGTTTTACCCTTTTCTATTATCTTTTCTTTTCTCATCTCTTTTTTTCTTACCTGTCTTTTTTCCCTTCATTTTTGGATTTCTGTTTTCTTTTCTTAATTTTTTTAAACCTTTTTTTCCCCCCCCTTTTTTTCCCTTTTTTTGTTTTTTTCCTACCTTTTCCTTCATTTTAAAAAAAAAACCTTTTATCTATCCTATTTTTTTCGTCTCGTTCTTTTTCATTCTTTTCGTCTCGTTCTTCTTTTTCCTTTTTATACCCTTATTTCTTTCTACTTTTTACCCTATCCATTTCTTTTTTTCCTGTAATACGTTTCACCTTTTCTTTTTTTCTCATATCTCAGATTCCCCTGTGTTCATTTCTCATCCGCACTTTTTTGAGGCTGATCCCGTCCTTTTGAAAACCGTCAACGGATTGAGCCCAAATGAAGATGAACATGGACTTTTTATCGATATCCACCCGGTAAGAAATCCCGGCACACAAACGCATAACGTAGCATTACTATTGGGAACTACTTAATATAATTACTACTATTTCTAGGAATACAATTTAAAATATTTGCAAAATATGTATAGTTATAAATCATTATACAATCTGTAAAATAACTTTCATAACAAATGATTCGTCAGTTCGAGAAGGCAAACAAAATTAACAACCAGTGGAATGTTCCTTCCTTGTCAGGTGACTGAGCAAGTGTGATTCTTTATCTCTCAAGGTTATTGATTATGGGTTGTTGTTGTTATGACTCAAACTTAACATCTTTATCTCTCAAATTGGCCATAAATGTGAAATTGTTCCTTATCTAAATTTGTTGCATAAACTCCTGATTTAATGTGCCTATCGGGGTCAATACATCCTATAACTGTGGCATAACCACTTTTTCAACCCATTTTCAAGAGCATAGGTCAGGACTGAGGGGGCTCTCGGCTCGGGTTTACGTTTGGGGCCTTACTACAAACCAAATGACCTAACTAGAACACCGTTATGGAGTACAACAAAATACACATACATGTTAATATTCTTTGAGGTTCTTAGAACAATTAACATGCCTAGTCTACAGGACGTGCTCTCTGTGTAAAACTCAATTAAATCAGTATCAACAAAATTGGATGCAGCTCAGATGTGACAAATTAATTTACACTGCAATTATAATTACATAAATTGTTAAGAGATTGCCGTTTACAATATAAAAATGTTAATGTATAAATAGTAAATGTTTGAAAAAATGAAATGAAAAATATTTTAAACTAAAACCGCCAATAGGTGGCAGCAAGCCAGTGTCTTGATGAATGAGTTGAATCCTTCACTCAACCGATTTGGCAAAATGCTAATTCATTTAACATGGCAAACGACTCCTTTAATGAATGGGTAGCCTAATTGAATCATTTACTCATCTGATTCGTTCAAACGCGCTGATTCTTTGAGGAACAAAACTGACCAGTTCTGCTGTTTGTTCTATTTTATTTATTTGTTACACTGTTACTCAGTAACTTGTCAATTAAACTGTTGTATAAAATCAATGTCAGATTTGCGATTGTGCAGATGTTCGGAAAAACGGCACTCTAGCTTGTGTGATAACTATCATATTCTCATGTTATAAAAAACAGGAACTATTTAAATGGCTATTTTGATCATTTTGATTGCACAAATGCATGCGGTCGGAGGCTATTAGCCCCGGCTGGCCCGGTAATGGCCCTCGCTCGCATTGGCTTGACAGTGGAAATGCGGCTAATAACTTCTGACTGGTATATATCAGAACAACTCAAATGAACGTAAACGGGTAAAGGTGGGTCATGATAGTTTCAGCTTTGTCCCTGGTTTGATAGAGAGTACCAGGGCCGGCGCTCCGCACACGCACATCACGCGCTGCGCGTAGGGCACCAAGTGCTTGGGGGGGCACCAAAAAATCTGGGTCGTGAAAAATCATCACAATAGGCTACTAGTATAAATAACAAATAAAATATGTCTAAAGCATGTTAATATACAAAAGCAATACAAAAGTAAAATAGGCCTAGACCAAATTAGTCGAGAAAAAGGTGAATCTCATTTTTCGTCTCCCTCTGGTGCCCCCCCTTCCCCACCTCCCAGTGGTCTGTTCGATTATGCCTCAATCAATGTCAAATTTGGCAGACACCGACCTCAGACATGGCCTCGGAAAGGCACCAAGAGTCGGGGGCGAAAAAAGGAAAAAGAATAGACAGCGGGATGATACTCGCGCGTCGCTTTGCAGGTAAGACAATGTTTTAAATAAAAATGTTAGTTTTGTAGCGCGGGCGCCCTTGCGTCGTGTATGCATGTCCAGGGGGCGTCGCTAGTAGTAGTGCAAATGATCCGGAGCTTTTTTAGCCCTGCATGTTGAATCTTTTATTTTAACGGGGGTCCGGGGCTTTCTCCCCCGGACATTTTTTAAACTTGGGCTGTTTAAGATGCAGTTAGTTTGTTTGAGAAGAAAAGGAAGACCGCTTAGATACGTTTTTTCGTTGTTGTTTTATGCGGATAATGCGTTCATTTTCAAGAGGCCAAGGCCCAAGGGCGACATCTGTTGGTGAAACTGCAATTAGAAAAAAAAAAAACCCACAATCTCAGTGTTTGTATATTTTCATATTCACAGAGTTGTCAAATTATTAGGGCTGGGAAAAGATTAATCGCATCCAAAATAAAAGTTTGTGTCTACATGATATATGTGTGTGTACTGTGTATAATTATTTTGTATATATAAATACACACACATATGCACGTATATATTTAAGAAATATTTGCATGTATATACTGTATATATTTATATATAATTTATATTATATATAAATTTAAATATTTTATATATAAATAACAAATATTTCTTAAATACATACATGCAAATGTGTATTTATATACACTACCGTTCAAAAGTTTGGGGTCAGTGAGAATTTTATTTTTATTTTTTGGAGGAAAGAAATCAATACTTTTATTTATCAAGGAATAGTTAATTTGATTGAAAGTGACAGCAAAAGACATTTATAATGTTACAAAAGTCTTTTGAACTTCCTATTCATCAAAGAATCCAAAAAAAAAAAAAAAAAAAAACTGTACAACTGACAGACCAACAACTGTTTCAAAATTTGATAATAATAATTAATGTTTCTTGAGCATCAAGTCCTCATATTATACTGATTTGTGAAGGATCATTTGACACTGAAGACACTGACACTGGTGATGCTGAAAATTCAGCTTTGATCACAGGAATAAATTACACTTTACTATATATTCACACAGAAAACAGCTGATTTACACTGGAATAATATTTAATACTATAACTGATTTTTGTTGTATTTTTAATCAAATAAGCGCAGCCATGGTTAGCAGAAGAGAATTCTTTTAAAAGTATTTAAAATCGTACCGACCCCAAACTTTTGAACGGTAGTGTATATACAAAATAATTATACACAGTACACACACATATATCATTCATGTAGACACAAACTTTTATTTTGGATGCGATTAATCACGATTAATCTTTTCCCAGCCCTACAAATTATGTACAGAATTATTATATTGTGCTTCATCAGACTAAGAAATTCTGAATGGTTGTTATTCCTTGGGTGGGTGAGGGGGTGAGTGGGGTGGGGGGGCACCACCAAGCATTTGTGCTTAGGGCACCCAAATGGCTAGCGCCGGCCCTGGAGAGTACGTTGCTCATTACTGCCATTAAACCATTACGACATCTGATAAGCTAATTGGAAATTATGGTTATCGTGACCTTTATGATGTTTGTATAGATCTCAGCAACTTAATGACCCATTATAAACAAGATTAAGATTTTAAAGGTATAATTTTTTTTACATGGTCAATGACTGACTAAAGGTTTTCTGATTACATGCATCTTTTAGGTTCAAATATTAATGTTAATTCACTCTAGTGCTGTGGTTTATTGTGGGTTAAGCCTAGCTGGAAATCTGGCATTTGTTGGTTAATTTAGTTTTGCTGGATGTTGGATGTGAAACCCCTGATGTCTGCCTCCGTGGGCCTTTTGTAACACAGGCAGTTTGATAAGACAAACTCTACTTTATGACTACTGATTAGTTGGAGATACAGCCAAGGCTTTGTGCTGCTAAATTTAATGGAATTGCACAATCATGACTTCTTGACTGTCTGTTCATCCGGTTGCAAAATTTGATGGTTATCTCGTCATTCTCCCTTCATCGGTTTTCAAGACATTTTTCTGAAACTGCCCCTGGGTTGAATGTCTGGGACAAATTCACAGCATGATGTGCGATTAGCTCCAGATCTATTGAATCCATTACTAAGCTGTCACGAAAACAGCTCTTTGGTTTCAGTGTTTTCTGTAGGAGCAAATGCATGTCTGCTCATAACTAGCCCGACATTGAATCTACACCCAAAAAATGAAGCCTTTATGCTTTCCGTAGAGTAGTTTAGTTCTGTTGAATTAGTTTTACTGTGTCTAAATAGATTCAGCAGGGTTATTTTTCTGGGGTTTTTTAAAATAAAAAGTAACGTTCTGCTCTCTCAATTTTTTCATGACCATATTACTATAACACCGCAGGACATGCCAACAAAAGTATTTCTTGGCAACTACCATTTCCAGCTTCTATCCAAATTACATATTCAAGGTATAAATCTTAGGATTTGTGTTCAAACCCATGACTTTGGAGTTCTTACAGGGTTTGTACAAGGTGCTTAAAGAGCTTGAATTACTTGAATTTGAGTTTTTGAAACTTAAGTCCTGGATAAACTCTTGAAAATGGTCATATTTTTTTAAAAGGGACTTGAAAAGTGCTTGAATTATTGATAGACAATATGTAATTACTGTTTAATTTTATTGATAAAACAAAGTTTCTCACAAAATCAACGCTGCAGCCCGTCTGATATAGATATAGAGCCATTGTGCATGGCTATTGTTCATATAAATAGCTTAATCATATTTTCATGGTAGAAGAAAAATTAGTTTGAATGTGGAAATTAATATCTTTGTCATAGGTTCCTTACAGCGGTTAAAGTTACCACAGTAACATTAGATTATTATTATTTATTTACCTTTTAGAATTTAGAAATAATAAAGATATTGTTTGATAAGTGAGATCTCTGAGAAACACCCCAAAAAATTAATTTTACCGTATCTGTACGAACCCTGTTCTTGGGGCCATGCGGTACTCTAAAGTGTTGCAAATGACTATTTATTTTGTAGTTCACTAAATCTTATTTTTTCATAGTGCAGAAAGTCATGTGCTTCCTTCAGAGGTTATAGAAGCCTTGTTTGTAATTGAACCTTCTGATTCCACCATCAATCACAGTGACTTTCACTTCAAAAGATTATATCTTAGAACAGATAACTGCTCGTAAATGACATAGCTGTTGAGAAACCAATCAAATGAGCAGTTGTAATAGTCGATCTTCAGGTTGTTTTATGACTTTATCTGATAGCGTCTAAGACGTTCTAAAGTTACAAAAGATTTCAGTTTTCAATTTTAAATGATATTCCTTAGTCACTTTTTAAAATTGATTAATAGAAAGTTCAATTTCCACAATATTATTAAGCAGAACAACTGTTTTTAACATGGATAATAATAAGAAATGTTTCATGGACATCAAATCAATATATTAGAATGATTTCTGAAGGATCATGTGACACTGAAGAGTGAAGACTGGTAATGATGCTGAAAATTCGGCTTTGATCACAGGAATAAATTACATTAAGTATATATTCAAATAGAAAACCGCTATTTTAAATTGTAGTAATATTTCACAATTACGGTTTTTAGTAATTTATCAAATGCAGCCTAGGGGATCATATGAAACTTCTTCTTTCAAAACATTATAACAATTTTATAGACCCCAAACTGTTGAACGGTAGTGCATGTTTTAAGTACACCAGGGAAAAATGCTTTAATGATGCTTTAATATTTCATCTTCATCCATGTTTGAGTAATTCTAAGGGTCATTTATGGATATTTTGGTTTATTTATTTGTTCATCAGGAATGCATCTTCTGGTTAACATTTTTTTTTTTTTAAAGGTACTTCACTTTGTACTAAATGGAATCAAATGTATAAAAGAAATGAACCGTTTTCTATATAGAATGTTAGCTAAACTTCTACTTCAACTAATAATTCAAGTTTAAAAACGGGCTGAAATTCTCTTCCAGACTGAAATTTCATGAATGAATCTCTTGGCATGGTGACATAACACATGCAACAGGATTTCATTGAAGGCTTTGTTTACAGGAGACTGGCGTGCCGGTGAACGTTTCCATACGGCTGCAGCTCAACCTGCTCATAAAGAGTGTTTCGGGCGTCTCGTAAGTACAGCACAAATACAGTAGGTCAACAGTCATGACGCTCTGTGTCTGGTCTGAGGTCCAGCTGTTGTGAAACCTGTTTGTTTTTGAAGGCTGCACTGTTCTTTACGGTCTCCCTTTGACTCTGTTCTGTGTGCTGTGGTTTGCTTGTTTCAGAGAAACGGGAAAGATAGCGGAGGTGGTGATGCCCATGATCTGGTTTGAAGAGGTAGTTGTGCATTCGGTTTCTTTTTGTAATTCCCTAAAATGTTTTGAAAGTCCCCACCAAGTGTTAAGATGTCTTAAATGTGTCAAAACAAAGGAGTCATTTAAAAAAAAATTGGTACATTTAGTTTCACATCTCAAATTTGCTTGAATTTGGGGTTTGAAAAGACACTTAATTTTCAGTAATATAATCAATTTGACTTCATTGAAGCTATTGGATACGAACAAAACTTGAATGAACTCGAACAAAACTATTGAGCTGGATAATGAGAATTTTCTTCTGTAGAGCTGCTTTATAGCTGAATATACTATTGCTTCATAACTAATGAACTTTTACACTGTTATTGTATGCTGAATAACGACCCGGGTTGAGGAACATTTCACACTTGTCATTTAGAAGCACCGCTTTTTTAAAGATATGTTAAAGTCCGACTGTAGTCAATCATTTTATCCCTAAAAAATCATCTTTGCTTACCAAAATCACATTTCAAAGTTTTTTTTTTTTGCCTTAAAATAGCTTTATTGTAACTCTACTACACCCTTGCCTCTTTTAGTATACGCGTTTCTATGAATATGCAAATGAGCCCCATCTTCACTCACACCAGCTCAGAGATTCACACGTTGACATGATTGGTTACAAGGTAGTTTGTGACGTCAGGAGCACCAGCGATTTCAAGCCGCGTTTTTGAGACTGTCTTTGGTTCACTGCAGTTTTAAAGAGAAAATACTCAGCAATGGTGTTGACTTATGAATTTGCACATGGTTTGTCTTAAACATAGACATATAAATAACCTTAACTTGATTTTCACCACAAGGGGACCTAAAAATTAACCACTTTAACGTTTTTTTTTTCATTTTTAATTATTATTTTTTTTCTTTGTATCGTTAGATATTCAAGCAAGTTGAAACTCAATACTTGCATTTAAAAGTGTAATCCAGCATAGGGATAGGCTAGACTGTAAGGGATCCACTCGTTCTATCTTTCATGGCCCATGAAATGGAGACATTGTAGGCCTCATTCAAAGGAGCCTTCAAATTAGGACAGCCTTCATTGCACGTAACACATTCGGCCTTTGAAGGATGCAGCCTCTGAATTGGGACACAGCTTGCATTGTCTATGTGCTGCTATGTGACTTGAATTCAGGTCGAAAGAGCAAATGAATGAAATTATCTCTGTCGTCTTTCTCAGAGCGGCTACATTGATGGTCCCGTTCTAAACACGTTCCGCACTAATCTGGTGGTGTTGCCCATGGTCATGGAGTACATGCAGTACATCTTCATCGCTCTCGGACTCGCAACCATTCTGGGAGCCGTGATTTTATACATCGTGACAAGCGACAAGGTATGTAGCCTACTGCACTTTTTTTGCATGCTTTTTATGCAGTTTTACTAATATTAATGTGATTCAAAGTGTGTATGTTTGTGTGAGTGCATGTGCGAGAGAGATTTGGAGAGGAAGTGGGTTTACATGATGTTGAGCAAATGTGGTTTGGCGTTTAAGCGTGTCTGAGCTCTGAGAAGGTAAAGTTTAGCATAAGAACCCGAAAGCACTTTAACGGTCCATTATCACCCCACTTTAACACTCTGCATGGGCCTAGATGGTTTAAAGTGCAACATATGCATGGTTTGTTTTACAGAAAGCCAGGAAAAAGACATCCGTTTCTCCCACACAAGGGGTCAGCACTAATTTATATATACATATTCAAAAACAAAAAGATTACAATGAAAATAACAATCAAAAATGTGTTTTTATGTAATTGTTCCAAATTTTAAACCATTGTTTACAATGTCATTTAAAATGAGCAAAGGCTGATCAACTTTAAATGTTATGTTGCTGATTTGAAAAAATGAAAAGCCACAGTGAGATGATCTCGGCAGATGTGAATCTTACTGCACATGTTTTATTGTAAAAACATGTGAAAATCAAGTTTCAAAGCATGTGATTTACCAACTGCACGATCATGTTCATCTTGCATGCTCCCGTCCCGTTTCAATCACTGACACACTTCATGCATGCCGTGCACGAGCACTACGGGCCGTTCAAATTCCCTTCAGTTTTTGTCCGCTGTGATGATCTCAACACTGTCACTGTGTCCCATAATCAACCTGAAGATCACTGGCTCCAAATCAGTGTCACTGCCCACCTGATGTTCAATGAGGTCTGGTTATTCTTTTAGGAAAGCGTAAAAGATACAAAACACGACCCGACCAATGAGACGCAGGCTGAAAAATTAAACGTGAATGACACAGGTGGGTTTTTGGCTCAGATATGCCTCTTCTCAATCTCTTCTTCTGCAGGTGGGATGTTTTTGAGGTCACATGAGCACACTGAAGTGAACGCACCTCCTTTCACTCACTTCACATGCACCTTTTACAGTCACTATTTCATTTAATCTGCTTCACTGATCAGTCCATCATAACTCATCAGCCTCTAATTTGCTGAGCAAAACCAAGTGTGCTGCACACGTCCTGAAAAGTGAAACCAAAACTTTGATCGCCCCCTGGTGGCTGGCTGCAGAATCCGTCATAATTCCCTTGGTCAGTGTATTCTGTAGCAGTGCGCTTTCAGAAACCCTCCACCTTCCCCAGCTCCACCTGTATAGATCTGCTATATGGTTAATTCATGTATGCTATATTGTACAGCAGTGTGTCTGTCTTGCTCACAGCAGTGTGTCGTGTTTGTATTGGCAGTAGCAAGTCCTGTATTTGCAATAACGGCAATAACAGCAGCAGTGTAGCAGATCTATTCCGCCAAGACCAACACATCAGCATGATCATATCCATTACAATCCCAAACACTCCGAGTTGTCATGACAGAAATCCTATTTAAACTTTAAACTTGGGGAAAAAATACATTAGAGGGAACAGTGTTTGTGACAAACTGAGTTTTTTTCTGATATGTAAGCATGGAGGATTTTGCCAAATGTTCCCAAGTTGTTGTTTTTTTGTTTTTTACACATACTTTAAATAAAAGCAAAACTCCAATAGAGTGGCTCCAGATGTTAACCAACACATGGTAAAGTCCTTGCCAGTTCCTGAATGGTTAGCCTTTAATTCTATTTTTTTTTAAAAGATGCAACTTTACTGTCCACATTTTATGCTTTATTGTATATTGGTTATTCTTTTTCTGCAAATCATTTTTTTACTATGTTTTTATTTTAACAAAAAATGATGCAACTTAAAGGTGAAGTTTTTATATCTTGTTGTAAGCGGTTTAGTGGCAACTTTAATTTTGGTGAGGAATTTGTGTGTTTTGATAACATGTCTTTTTTTCCTTCACCGCCAGATAAAAAGTAAGCTGTGTGGCCAGCCCTGCACAGATGTGGATCCATCCAGCTCAGCCAGTGAAAAGACCCCATTACTACAGGCCTCAACCAGCTAGAGCCCGCTCTGCACACTGCAGATCACACTCAGTATAAACTCTCAATCCCACAATCCACTGGGCAATAAATAAAAGTTTTTTTTATTAAGCGTTGTGGTTGAATGAACTGGATCAAGAACAGACCATCAAGAACAGGATTATGAACTCTTGAGTGGCTTGTTTTTTGCACAGCACTTGGGTCTAAAGTTCTCTGTGGGGTCAATATTACATTATTTTCTTTTTTTTGTATGAAAAGGTGACTAGCAACTGTGCTGTGGTACACTTTCAAATTAAATAATTGACAATATACTACTAGACAATGAATTTGCAAATGGTGCATTTGTATAGCTTTAAAAAAAAAAGACAAACACTCCAAACCTTACCTCCTCAGAGGGAAAAATATATTTAAAGACATTTAACCTTTATCCTGTAAATATGGAAGGGATGTGAACATGTTGTAACATTTCCTTGCCATTGACTGAAATGTCCTCTGAAAACAGAAAAACAAATGCTGAGCCAACACATTTCTCAGTATGCTGAATACACACGTTGCCTTTGTTCTGTCTGTAAAGCCACTTGTATTTAATGGATGTAAAAAAAAAAGTATGTCATTGTTTGTATTCTCTTGATTGTTCAGTATAAAATGAAATGGGATTGTTTAATGAGACTTCATTCAATAATGACTTTAAGTTCACTTTAATTCTTGGTATTTCTGCATGATTCGCAGACAAATGTTCTATCAAATGTTGTATGAACTTTTTAAAGATGCCTATAACTGGGTACAAACAGCACATGGTCTATGGCTATAGATAGATAAGTGAACTATCCCTTAGCCTAGATTACTTTGTTATTTTCAAGGATGAAGCCCTGAATCATCCTGCCCAGGCCACTGATACTGTGTCAGGTGCTTTGTTAAATTTAATTCAGACTAAAAGTAGCACTACAAATACAACTAGGATTTATAAATTGTACTTTAAAATAACTGTCATTAGTTATTAGCATTACAGTAACGAGAATGAGTCTTTATTTTTTCCGCCATTTTTAAAATAGCATTTTTTTTATCACCGCAAGATGGCAAGAGCGAGCAACAGTACAGCAGGCGACGCCGAGTTTGTTGAATTAAGTCATCTTTTATTTTGTTTATCATTTTTAATCAAACAGTTATCATTTATTTAATGTTTGATGTGATTGCGTATGAGAGCTGAGCCGTGTTGAAGATATACACAAATCTTGGAAAACGTGTCGCTGCTGTGTTGACTGAAACGAAGAGTTCCTGACGTGAGTTTTACAGAAATAAAGTAATTTTACACAATGACATCCGTAAACTTAAAATGTTATATAAAGATTCTTTGTCTATGGCTCCAGAGAACGCAATGACATACTTTGTAATTTCAGAATTAACCTTATATTTCCCCTTCAAAATCTTCAACATGTTTTTTTTATAACATCGTTAAATCTCAGGCAAATGTTATTAAAAACTTAACCCAAAGCTTACTGTATCATATTTGATACATGGGTTTCTGATGCCTTTAAATTATTAAGATTAATATCAAGATTTTTCTGAAAAACGTGTTTATAGGCTAACGTTATAACAATCTATGCCTCTGGTTGACACTTCATACTTTGTTAGTAAGTAAAAATTATTTTTGCTTTGTAATCTTTAATGATTTTTATAAAGTAAATGCTTTCATAGTCTGATATACTGTTATAAAGATCTCACTTATTTATTACATTACAAGCTTAGCTAGCAGAATTTCATCTTACTTTTTGGCATATAAATACATCTGCACTGAATTGCATATTTTTGCTCAGAATGGGCCTCTGAATAAAATTGATTTTCTTTTAAGGTCCACATTCTTACTAAATCATACTATATGGGTCATAAAAGTCTAATGTGTCATATATCATACAAACATAAAATATGCCATTTTATTATGGCAAAACAAATATTTTCTATTAGATTTTGTCTAAAGGTTTCAAAAACTAAACATGAGATTATTCTGGCCATTATTTCATATGTCAGGCTTTACAAGATTAAAGCTCTTTGAAATCAGAATTGGATTTGTGTGCAGTTAGTCCGTATACAAGATATCTATTTTAAATCTATTTAGTTGGTGTGTCCATTTTTCTGTATATTACAATGCTTTCTACAGTGCGATTGTCCCTCCCCATAATTCCACCTGCCATCTAGTAATAACAAGTAGCAAATTGAAGCTTTATTCTTATATGTTAGCACAACACAAACAGAAATGTATTATTTTCATGGATGACGTTTAAAGCTATAATTTCTCATAAGATTAGCAAGTGTCAGTATTAAGTATGTGCTTTGGTGTATGTGAAGGTCCTTGGGGTTTCCCAGATCCCAAACAGAAGGGTTACCACTTTATCATTGCAGGTCATCAGAACTTCAACATTTGAAATGAAACGTGCAGTGAGAGAAAAGGCGCTTCGGCTGTCTGTTTGACGGCTGTTCAATCGATGAAGTTGGCAAATGTATAAATGTGACCTTTTCCAGCAGAGCCGCCGCACTTCAATCTCATGTCCTGAGGGAATGTGTGTCTCGGTGTTTCCTCGACCCTCGCTGCGGATTACGGTAACTTATGGTGTCATGGCCACAAAGCTGTCTTGCATCTGAAATATAGAGCGTTATACGGACACTGCAATGAATCATATCTCAAATATACGATTAAACAAACCCCAGCACTCAATTGCAGTGGTCTGCCACTTTGTATGTGGTGTAGAGATTTATATTTCTTGGATTTAACCTCAGTAGTTTCGGTTCGATGAAGCAATTAAGAAACAGGCAGAACAACACCGTACCAGATTTGGCGACCCAGGCAAGTGCTTCAAGAGCTGAATGCAAAGAGAAAACATGCTTCAAATATATAATGAGCTCTGTTGGGTTCTGGCCAGTTCATAGATTGTTCTATTTGTGGACGCCAGTTGTTTGTGTCCATCAAACCTAATGGAAAGTTAAAGCTGCAGTCCGTATCTTTTCCTCTTTGTCGCCATCTCTCTGTTCGAAATCTGTAACTGCAGTGATTCGCGGAATTATTATCTTTACGTGGGTTGTAAATCGGCATGAAACAGCGCGGATGAACACAGTGCTTTGAGGCGAGTGCTGCTGTCAGTCACCGCGCTGTGTGGATACTGTCATTCAGAATCACAGATTCACTTTTTGAAAGTTTGACCAACATAAGAATTTTCATAAGAAAATGTCTTCTGAACAAGTAAGTAAAATCCATTTTTGTTCTGACCAACTAAGGGGGGAAAAGCATTCGACATGATAAGCTTCGTTAGATTTAATCAACGCGATTTACAGCAACCGTGCAAATTATAGCCTACTTTGTTCTCAAATTGTTCATGTTAACAACATCAGCATTGCGTGACTAATGTTAAATTTAATGTGTTTTATGGTTAGCAGCTACCTGCGTAGTTCAGAATTCATATTCTCCATAATAGCAAAACGAGAAAGGCACAACAAAGGAAACTCCATAACTGTGAATTAAGAAAACGTACTGTTACACGATTGAACTATTGAAATGTCTTACTTGTTCAGCAGAAAAAAGCCGTCTCTTCTTCCGTTTTGAACCCCTTCAAAACACGGAGTTCACGCACTTTTCAAAAGCCCCGCCGATGTTTAAATCCTTGTGTTCGCATGAGACGGTTTCGTTCTCTTTCTCTAGCCACCTTAAATCCGAAGTACGAAGTCTTTTGGGTTTTATAACTGCTGAATCTCCAGTTGACACTGATGATTGTTGTTTGGATCTTTCTGGATGCCATAAGTTTAATTATGTAAAGTGCTGCGAGAAAAGCCTATACATCTAAACATCTCGTCACGCGCAGTATAGCCGGCTAGCCGAAACTCCTTCTTTATGTGTACGGGTGTGACGTCATGACGCAAAGACATGCTCGAATTTCCCGCGGAAACCCACCAGTACCACTGGAATTAAAATCATTATTACAAGCTAACCGTTTTGAATCTAGCTATGGCAAGCAGATAGTTTTGACCACTGGCAGAATAAGTTTTTTTTTAAATAATAATTTTGGATTATTTTTAACTTAAAAAAGTTACGGACTGGAGCTTTAAAGGGATAGTTCTCCAAAAAAAAATGAAAATTATGTCATCAGTCACCCTTAAGTTGTTCCAAATCTTTATGAGTTTCTTTCTTCTGCTGAACACAAAGAAAGATACTTATTTCCATACTATGGAAGTCAACAGTGCCCCACAAGATATATTTAAAAATATTTTTTTTGTGTTCAGCAGAACAAAGAAATTTACAGGTTTGGAACAACTTGAGGGTGAATAAATGATGGCAGAATTTTCATTTTTGTGTGAACTATCCCTTTGTAATGCATTCAGTACCTGTTGGTTTGTCTTTGTTTCATTTGTTTTCCATGCCTGTTCTACTCTTGGAGTCGACATAGTGAGCCGTTTACCTGAGCGATTTGGTGTTTGTATTGTGTTGCTCTGTTGTCTGTGTTGCTCCTGTTTACCTCCCCACTGGAGTGAGTGGGTTTGACGTCCAAAGGGAGGGTGCAGGTCATCCCTTCAAGAAACATCAAACCGAGATGTAATTGTGGCCGCCCCTTCCAGCATCTTTGATGTCTGGAACCCAGGCATGACCAAAGTCTGGTGTGAAATTATAAAGCGGAGTAGACACAGAATATTAATGCTGATGCAAGAACAGGATGATGGGTGAAGCTCATTAAAACATGTCTAGGTCACATTCCATCTCATATTGAAAAAACTACGGAAAAAAAAATCCCACTCAAAAGTTATGCGATAAGTAAGATTTAAAAAAATAAATAACACTTTTATCAAGCAAGGATGCATTGAATTAATCAAAAGTGACAGTGAAGACATTTATAATGTTACTTAAAGGGTTAGTTCACCCAAAAATGAAAATGATGTCATTAATGACTCACCCTCATGTCGTTCCAAGCCCGTAAGACCTCCGTTCATCTTCGGAACACAGTTTAAGATATTTTAGATTTAGTCCGAGATAGGGCTGGGCGATATGGCCAAAAAATCATATCTCGGTAATTTTTGGTTAAATGGCGATATGCGATATATATCTCGGTACTTTCTACGTTTTTCTATT